TTGTTGTTTGTATTTTTGCCTGTGTGTGATTCTCACTGGTGAGGGGTGGTGTCTCATTGTGTTTCTAATTTGCATTTCCTTGATTATGAGGGATGTTGAACATTTTTTATATGCCTGTTGGTCATTCCCATTTCCTCTTTGGAGAAGTGTCTTTTAAGTTCTTCTGCCCAGTTTTTATCTAGATTATTTACTTTGTTTTGTTGAGTCATGTGAGTTTTTGTGTATCTTTGTGATCAGCCCTTACCAGCTGCTTGGGTTGCAAAACTTTTCTCCCAGTTAGCGGGGTGCCTCTTTGTTCGGTCAAAGCCTCCTTTGCTGTACAAACTCTGGAGTTTGATGTAGTCCCAACTGTTTATCTTTCCTTCACTTTTGTTGATTTGGGTGAGGTGTCTTTGAAGATGTTACTGAGGTATATGTCAGGTAGTGTTTTGCCTATATTTTCTTCTATATATATTTTATGGTTTCAGGTTTTAGGTCAGAATCTTTGACCATTTGAGTTGGGTGTTGTGCGTGGTGTGAGGCAGTAGGTTAGCTTCATTCTTTTGCATGCAGCAGTCTGGTTTTCCCGAGAGAGAAGAGATTTAAAGGCTCTAGATATAACTTTGGATTTATCTATTTATCCTTTTGCTTTATTTTTTTTCTTCACGTATTTTGAGGCTTTTGGGTGTATACATTTGTAGGACTGCTGTGCCTTCCTGGTAAATCAACACATTAGGCTTAGCAGTCTGTCTTTATTGTTAATAAGCAGTCCTTGTCCTATAGACTAATTTTCTGTTAAAATAGCAGTTTAATTTTCTTTTCATAGTGTTTTCACACGATTTCCTTCCCTATTCTTTTTACTCTTACACTCTGTTGGTGCGGCAGGCAGAATCCTAGGATTGCTCCCTACCACCTCTGTACAAACCCTGACAGCCCCTCCCGTGAGTGGAGGCAGGTGTGCGAATAGGGGTGCCCCTGCCCTGACTACATGGCAAAGCGAAGGGGCCTATGCATCTGTATACATAACTAAGCCTCTTAGCTGGCTCTGCATGAGTCAAAGGGAGGCTTGTTCTGGACGGGTCTGAGCGACTGAACAGGTCTCAAGTGCAAGGGCTCCTCCTGCCAGCACCGTGAAGGGCCTAGGGGCAGAAGCAGCGTCTGGGAGACTGCAGAAGCACCTCAGTCCTATAACACGAGAGACCCACTCTGCCAGCATCGTGCGCACATTCAGAGCAGGCCGAGCTCTGGGGAGGCCACAGCGAGGTCATGCTTGGTTGAAGTTCTGTGAAGAGCTGGGCAGGGCGCTCAGTTAAACCTGGGCTCCAGGGCGATAACAGTACAGGTTGGCTTAAATTGGCAAGGGCGCTTGTGCCTCTATTTTGCAGATCCTGGGTGAATTGCTAGGTGGCAAGAGGAAATGAAAACAGGAGTAATGTTTACAGTGAGTTTTTTATAAATAGAGTATCACTATATTTCTGTTCTTCTTGGCATTTCTGCAGCTTTTAATTTACGTAAATACAAATTTCTGTCATGTAATATTTATTCCTTCTGTCTGGAGAACTTCTCATATTTCCTATAGGGCAATTAAGCTGTATCCTCTCAGCTGTTATTAGTCAGCTAGTCTTTATTTTACTTTCTTGTTTGAAAGATGCCTTTGTTGCCTGTAGAAGTCAGGATTGGATGGCCCTCCCTGGTGGCACAGTGGGTTAAAGCGCAACACTAAGAAGCTAAAGCCACTGCAGCATGAGTTCGATCATCCCCGCCTGCCCCGGAGGTGACCACAGGGCGGCAGACCTCTCCTGACCCGCCCGCTGCTCCCCTCAGCAGTGTACTT